TGAAAAAGTAAAATTTCGCTACGTATTTTTAAAAGAATTGTTACGTAATATATAATCACCTTTATAGTGTTACCAAATAGTAAAGATGCGATACTACACTTGTTGTTTGAGTTGCTCTCAATCTTCTTATCTCTATAGATTAAAAAATTATTATGTATCATTCATTTATTCAAGAATTACGAGGGTCAACAATGTTAATTAAAAATTTTAATGCATAATTTGTGTAAGATCTGTTAGGCGAGTCTCGAGCGTTGGGTGTTGGCCGTGCTTAGGGCGTACAGTCGGGCGCTTCGGGCGTAAGTCTTGCAGAACTAATTCCCACACTTGAGTCTCGGGGCATTTTGTTAGAGCCCTGCCCCAGGGTGAGTCCCAGAAGAGTTTTTTTAAAACACTAGCTTGGACAATCCTCCTCCCTTTGAGCTAGCTTTTGGGGTGTGAGTGAGGTCTAAGACCTAATTTAACAACACCGAACTACCTTAAAATAAATATTATCTCTAATGAAATATCTAACTATTAGCTACTCCATAAAGTCCTCGAATGATGAGGCCTTAACAACATTTGATTGGAATGTTGCAACCTGTCTAGCCACAAGGCCAAGTGTGAATATCTAAATCTACATCATAAAAAAATGTAGCGAAGAGAAATGTATGCAGTCAGTATATGGAATGTACTGAGTATGTAAGATATAACCGGACATAATCATAAATTAATATAATAAAAATGAATGGCATCTCAAAATCTATATAATGATACAAGTACATAAAATTAATAGTAGTTTTACTGAAGAATTTCTTACAATCAACAAACACCATTTGACCTGACGATGTCCAATCTACGATCCCAATTGGATGAGTTATCCTATACCTTGCCAGAGTGCAGAACTTGTTTGTCAAATGTGGATCTACTAACTGAGCTTCAAAGGACTAAAGGAGTTTACCATCAAAGCAGCATACTCTTAAGTACCTAAAAAGTAGAGCCCTTTTTTGATACCGAGTTAACTCACAAACATCATTTACATATTAACTCGTTATATTTACTCCATAGATATTTGATTTTGTGCTGCATTTGTTTCCAACCCAAATACATTAGAGAAACTTTTCAATGCCCTTAGCATTATCAAGATAGATTGAAATTCCCCTTTGCAAAACATAAATACATCATAAGCAAATCAAAGATGGATTAGCTTGAGGCTTTGGAACTAAGTGTGATATTGTTTCCTTATTAGTCCGTTAAAATAAGTAACGATATATTTCTACATTTTAAATTAATTTTAAGTTTTAAACTTCTCATTTTATCTTACTCGTAAGTTCTAAAAGTCTTTATTTACTTTGTAAATTTCGTATCGAATTAAATTACATTATATAAATTAGAATATAATCAGTATAGAGAATATTCTTTTATGCTATTAGTTAATTGTCGTAGGGGGAAATCCGTCTTATTTTCTAGTTTACTAATTTTATTTTTCATGAAAACTTATCTATAATTATCTTAAATATATTTTGATAGTTTAAAAATTCAGTATATGCAGTAGTTAATCACATTGTTATATCTTATCCTTTTATATCTTATCCTTTCTTGGTGAGTTTTTCAGGTGGATGAGAAAGGCCAGAACCCATCATGGAAAGCACTAGGCTATTGTGGACAAGACCCGGATTTCAAGAAACAAAAACATGAAAAAATGAATAGTAAGCAAAGCAAACACGAAGAATTTTCAGACAAACGAGACGAACATTTATATGGACCACTTTACAAGGGAATCATTACCCTAAAACAACCACAAAATGCCCTATTCAATAAGCTCCAAAAACTAGGGTTTCATGTCTCAAAACCAAATTCATCATCAAATTGTCCTTCTTTCATCATAGAATGTGATGCAGTGGTAGTTGGTTCGGGCTCTGGGGGTGGAGTTATAGCTGGTGTTCTTGCAAACGCGGGACACAAAGTACTTGTTTTAGAAAAAGGAAGTTACCTAGCTAGAACAAATCTTTCCCTTCTTGAAGGACCTTCATTGGATCAAATGTTCCTTGGAAAAGGACTAATGATGACCAAAGACATGGAAGTTTTTCTCCTAGCCGGTTCCACCGTTGGTGGTGGCTCAACGATAAATTGGTCCGCCTCAATTGACACCCCATCACACGTTCTAAAAGAATGGTGTGATATCTATGAATTGGAAATGTTCCAAAGTGAATTCTACAAGGAGGCATTAGAAACCATTCGCGAAAAAATGGGAGTTCAAGATAAGATTGATGAAGAAGGGTTTCAAAACATGATTTTGAGAAAAGGGTGTGAAGAATTAGGGTACCATGTGGAAAATATACCAAGAAATGCACCGTCAAATCATAATTGTGGTTGGTGTAGCATGGGATGTAAAGATGGTAGTAAAAAAGGGACAAATGAGACATGGCTAGTTGATTTAGTGAAATCAGGCAATGGTGCAATAATTCAAGAATGTGAAGCTCTAGAGGTAATTCATGAACACAAAAATAATTACAACAAAAGTAAAGCTATTGGAGTTGCTTGTGAATTTCAACATGAAGGGGTGAAAGAAATTTTCATGGTGAAATCCAAAGTCACAATTGTAGCATGTGGTGCACTTAGTACCCCTTCATTGCTCAAGAGAAGTGGTTTAAAAAATCCAAATATTGGTAAAAACCTACATGTCCATCCGGTTGTATTTGCGTGGGGACACTTTCCAGATAGTGATGACAACGTAAAGAATTGGCCTGAGTCAAAGAAAAAGAGCTATGAAGGGGGAATAATGTCAGTAATGTCTAAAGTTGTCGCGAATTTCGAGGAATCGGGATACGGTGTGGTTATACAAACACCAGCATTGCACCCTGGCATGTTCTCAGTAGTAATGCCATGGATTTCAGGCCTTGATATCAAGATGAGAATGTGCAAATATTCAAGAACTGCACATATATTTGCTTTGGCAAGAGATAAGGGATCAGGAGAAGCAATTTCATCGAATTCAATATCATACAAATTGGATCAAATTGATGAACAAAATCTTAAGGTATGGATAGTTAATTACTAGTAGTATTATGCTAGCATTATCTTATTCTTCTATTTCATTACTAATGTTATTTCTTTTACTCTGATTATCCTATTATACTAGCATTATCTTATACTCTAATTTTATCTTTTTTATGTTCTTATCCTTAATATTTGTATAGTATTTTCTTTCTTCAATATTTTCATCAGAACTTTTTACTCTTTCATGATTTTCTAGAGCCAAGGGTCGTCTATCTTAAACAACCTCTCTACCCCCACAAAGGTAGGAACACTACAACAAAAACTACTTTTAGCGGCAATAAATATTGACATTAATAAAGAATACTAAAGATTTTACCGGCATTAGTTAAGTGTCATTAGAACCAATGTCGCTAAAGGCTTTAGGGACATATACAAAGAGTGCTAATTGCCGCTAAAAAGCGGCAATTAAGAATTAATTCCCTCTAATGATCATTTTTTATGTAGTGGAATAAGGTCTGCATCGTCCACCTTACCCTCCCCAAACTCTAGTTGTGCAAATTATTCTAGATATTTTAGTTCTAACATGAAGGCAAGGGGCATAACTAATATGTATGTCGAAGGGTGATCAGTTGAACACTCTTCGTGAGAAACCTCTACCGTGTACTATATATAGGTCAAATATTACCCTTAAATACCTCTTGATGAAATTTCTGACTTCGCCACTGATGTAGGTCGGTATAGAGAAGCTATTAAGAATCTTGGCAGCTGCTGGAGCAGAAGAAATTGGAACTCACAATGTAAAAGGAAAGAAATTGAAAGTGAAAGAATCAAGTGTTGATGAATTTGAGAGTTTTGTGAAAGAAGAAAGTTCAAGAGGATTTAAAAATCTCTCAACACCTATATGTTCAGCACATCAAATGGGAAGTTGTAGAATGGGAATTGATCCAAAAATATCAGTTGTAAATCCAAAAGGAGAAACATGGGAAGTTGAAGATTTGTTTATTGGTGACACAAGTGTTTTTCCAACTGCCCTTGGTGTGAACCCTATGGTCACTGTTCAAGCAATTTCATATTGCACTGCACAAAATGTGCTTCAAGTACTTAAGGCTAAGAAGATGAATTAAATGGGAAATTATTGCTAATGGATTGAGGATGATGAATTGTTACCTATTGTATCGTATCGTATTGATATTTTAAATAATACAATATTGTTCTGAATGTTACATACTTATATTTTGTTGTATCGTATTGTTGAATCGTTATTATATAGCTATGAAAAATGTTATTTTAATTTGTGTAACAATTTATTTGGTGTGATCACAACATTTCCCATAGTTTGGATGGTCGCTTCATTATACCTAAGTTTGTATATAAATTAATAAGACTTTTGTCAAGGTAAAATCCAAGGTTCAAACTCATTTTTTAAAATTTTTATTTTTCACTTGGTGTTTAGTATTTGTATTGGGGTCTGAGTAAATTCGGATTCGCTCATTGCAGGGTCCATTTTTGGAGACGACCAGCGCTCCCAACAAGAGTTTTTTCATTCCAAAAAGCTTGAATTTGAGACCTCTAATTAAGGGTGATGGAACCTCAATCATCCTACAACACCTAAATCTCATACAAACATATTGCATCAAGATGTTATCCACTAATACAAATACCAAGAGAAATTGTAAGCAACATAGAGATTTTCTCTCTCTTTTTTTTCACTATGAAACACAATTACAACCATGTTTGAACTAAGATACACATAAATACACCCACTCTTTCTAGTATTTTATTGCAAAGAACCAATTAAATACAAAGACAAATTAAAGAACTTAAAAGTAAAATAAAACAAGTTTATTTTCTGAGTTCAAATTATAAAGATTTTTCACACTATCAGGTCACACCAAGTGTTATTTGATCCATAGATATCATTATTTGAGTGACCTGATGATATAAATATCTTTTTACATTAACGTCGTATGAAACATAAACTCTTTATTTTTTTAAAAAGAGAAAGTTTATTAGCTCTTTAATATTTAAGGACATTTAGGTTTTCCCTTAGAGTTCAACTTGTCTCTATAACAAGGACATTCAGACTTGTTTCCATATGTGCCAGAAGGAACACAATTGCATGCAACACAACATATTCCACAATACTTCAAACAACGTTTCTTTAGTCCTGCCTTCCAACATCTTGCACTGCACTTTTGGTCACAATAACCTATTATTGACCACAAAAAAAAAATCTTACTCTCTCTGTTTAATTTATGTGATGTAGTTTGAGTTGAGTATACGTAGTTTAAGAATAAATTGACTTTTGAAACTTGTGGTTAAAAATAAGTCATAGATATTTGTGTGACTATAAAATCATTTCATTAAGGTTAAAATGAACATTTTAAAGTTAAATTATTAAGTACTGAATATAGACATGTATTTTTAAAAAAAACTGACAAATAAGGAAAGTAAATCATATAAATTGAGTAGTATATAAGAAGAATACAAAGCATATATGTGAAAATTGAAAAATATTATTTGCAATTTTTTTTTTTTAAAGAAATAGTGGAAAAAGAGTCTTACTTGAAGTAGCCATTGCTGCATTTTCAATGAAAGAGGAGCTAAAGAGTATAACAACAAGGAACAAAACAGTAAATGAAGTCTTCATTTTCTCTAGAAAACAAAAATTCCAAACAATATTGAGAAAAAATATATATGAAGAAGCTTTGTGTAGATTAGTGAAGAAGAAAAGAGGAAATTACATAAGTATTTATACATGTGAAATGTAGCTTTATTATTAATTTCTAAATTTATATATTAAAAAAGGAATTAAAGTTGGTAGAGGTAAAAGACAAGATGATAATTATTATCAAAAGTTGTTTTATATTGTACATAATGTAGTTGCCAAAGTAGAGAGTTGGTGCTTTAATTAGTTTTCTTGTGTTTTTTTTTTTGTTTAAATAGAGAAGCAATTATATAAATGTGGAGCATGGTTATCGCAATATTATATAATCATTTGCTTTTTTTTAACTCCAAGTATCATATTATTTATCGTTATTATTATTTTTTTTATTCATTATCATCAACATGACTTCTTCACTATTATATTTTCTTTTCAAATTTGTTCTGAAATGTTATACTTACATTACATCAAAAATGATCTTTAGTGGTAATTGAGAAGTGGCAATTAATCAACGGCAATAGCTCAATTACCACTAAATATGTATTTTTAGCGGCAATTAGCAATCTTTGTATATGTCCCTAAAGCCTTTAGCGACATTGGATCTAATGGCACTTAACTAATGCTGGTAAAAACTTTAGCACTCTATATTATTATGTTTATTTATTGCTGCTGAAAGTTATTTTTGTTGTAGTATTAAACTGAGGATCTATCATAAACAATCTATCTGCCTTCATAAGATTGAGATGACGTTTGTATACATATCATGCTCTTCATACTTCATTTATAAAATTATATTGAATATATTATTGTTATTTTTTTAGTATTTATCAAAAGGAATTCAAGTTGGTCTTAATTAAAGGGTAAATTGACAATTATTTAAGTTTATGAAAGGCTGTATTTTATTGTACATACTGTAATTGCCAAAGTAGAAGTTGGTGTTTTAATTAATTTACTTGTTTTTTTATATTATATATAGAGAGAAGCAATTATATGTGGAGCATGGGAATTTTCACCTACTACTATAACATGATTACCATACAGGCTGGCATCTGTCCTTTTTTTTTTGTCTAATAAAAAAAAGAGTTAAATTAAAAATAGAAAATTAAGGATGTTATCATGATAAGTCCACCCCAAAATATGGTGAATCTTAATAGCTTAGTTGATTGGCTACCTGAAGTTTCACCCTATTGGTGAAAGTTCGATTCCCCACCTTGTAATCTCCTTCTCATTTCTCCTTTCCTACCCCCAATTTTTTTTTGAGGGGGGGAGGGGGGGGGGGGGGAGTCTCTAAATAGGGCAACGTGTATAGATCGAGTATTAGATTATAGAATTAGTAGGTAATTGAGTGTTGCCTTCTATGTGGTAAAGTAGGGCTTTAGTCTAGAGTTTATATGTTTTTAACCATAGGCAAGAAAGAAGAGAAGTTGAAAGGTGGTGTGAGGCTAATTTACACAAACATTGTGCAAATATTTGCTCAATTGCTCAACATTATGGACAAAACATTGTTTAACATTAGCAATAACTTGTAAAGTTTTACACCATAATTTAATGTTTTCTCAAACATTTTAGTTTGCTTAAAAATGATCTTTAGACCTGAATAAATGTCCACAATTTACGATAAAATATTAAAAAGAATAATTTACTAAACAGTTACCCAAAAAGAATCAATTAGTGAAAATTTCACCTAGTATGAGTGTGTGTTATTTCAGTAATATGTATAGGCTCATGAGTTAGCTTCTTGGGCTGCAGCCCAAGTTCTTAAGGTTATGCTATGCAATGGGCCTAACCAACTAAGACCCATAAAGAGAATGTTCTTTTAGATTTAGGGGTAAAATATATTTAGGGACATATAGTTCAAAATTGAGTCATTTAAATTTTTGTTAGTCACACTATGTCATCCCCCCCCCCCCCCCCCCACCCAAAAAAAAAGCCCTAAATTTAATAAGAGAGAAGTATTGAAAAAATTTCTAGCGTGAATTATTATAAGTTTCATCACCGAATTATTGACAACCTTAAAAACACCCTTTTACTTGACTAACTTAACTTAAATACACTTCCGATCTTACAACATGAGTGAAATATACATCTAAATTCTCGTCAAGTTCAGGGGTATTTTCAATACTTCTTTTGGCTATTTATTAAGGCTCCAATCTCCTACAAGAGTTTGATCACTTACTATGTCATGTGGAAGATCGGGGGTGTATCTAAGTTTAATAAGTCAAGTAGATGTGTGTTTTTAAAACTGTCAATAGTTTGAAGATAAAACTAATAATTTGAGCCAAAGTCAGAAGTGTTTTTAATACTTCTCTCTAACTACATTACTATTCTGATTTTATATTTTGTAAAAACTTAATTAAAAAAATCTCTTTTTTTATAGAATTTTTTTTCTCTGAATACTAGGTAACAATCTTATCTGAATGTTCTAGCCCCAATTTCCAAGATAGGGACATGATATGAGTGAAATAATTCAGTACACATGCCCAAGAAAATAGGAAAACCTTTATCCCTATTGAATAATTGTATCAAATAATCAGTAGAGTATTGGAATGATTCAAGAGCATAAATTTATGTGGTATAATTTTATAAAAATTAAAATTATTATGAGATATTTGTACAATTGTATGATATTTATGATTAATAAATCATTTAATCATGATAATTAAGAAAAAATTTAATGTAAATATTCTATGCGTATAAATATTTATTAAAAAAAATCTCATAGAAAAATGAAAATATGATAGATTTTCACGTGATAATAAGGGAAGAAAAAAGAGGACATGAATGCAGGAACAATCAGGGGCGGACCTACAGTGGTTCAAGTGGGTTCATATGAACCCACTTCGTTGAAAAATAATATTGTATATATATGTATATTTAATTAATTTTTAAAATTTTATATGGATATATTAAATTTTGAACACATTAACACAAGTCTGAAGCTTAGCTGAGTGGTTGAGGGGGTTCAATTTTCCCAGCCAACCTGGGATCGAATACCCATTGCCACATTTTAGTTTAAATTCGTTTTATTGATATATAAAACGTTCACACACATTTTTGTCTTCTATGTAGGTGTAATTTTTGTCCTTTTAGTTACTTAGAAACTATAAAAAGTAGAGCGACTTTTTACTTTTACAATTAAAAGTCCAATAGTCAACAACTTTTGTCCTTTTTGTTTTTAATTTTTTTTTTTTAAACACTCAACCAAAAAGGCACTAATCCCTATTATTCTCAATTCTAAAAACCCTTTTGTCTTCTTCTTTGTTGAATGTTTTTTCGCTCTTGATTCTAGTCTTTATATATACATATATGATTATTGTGGTTATTTTTTATTTCTTCAACTAAAAAATCTCTTATCATTCTAAAATCAACAAAAAATTACAAATAATATTAGGTATATTTCTATATATTTGATTCTGAAATTAAGGTTATAATTATTTTGTTTAATATTTTGTTTTTATTTGTTAAATGTTGAATGAAGAGAAATCATTCATAATATTCTTTTATTTTCTTAGTTTATATTGAAGCCTAGTTTTTTCGTCCATCTTGTTATTTACCGTCTCATTCATAAGTCAATGTAAATTTTTTTCAAATGTATTAACATTGTTTAGTATAGTCAGCTATGTATGTTGTTAGCCTCATAAAAATTACAAATAATATTAGATATATTTTTATATCTTGAACCCACTTCATGAAAATCCTGGGTCCGCCACTGGGAACAATAGACAAGTGTTCCAAAATTCATAAATATAATAAAAAAACTTTTCATGAATTAAAGTCATCTACTTTATTAAGCAATTTAATCCATCAAAAAGTCAAATTAATTAATTTGCATTGGACCACTGGTGATAATTAAGTGATGACATGTGCAGTTGGACACTAGGTAGTTGTACAATTTTATTTTATTTTTTAAATAAGTTATTAACAAGAATATATCAAAGTCAACTAGGAGATAGAGATGTCATGGTGATACAGAATTGTAACATTGTTGTTCAAATTATAACCTCATATGTGAAGGATTGGCGGATGAGGACGGATCAAAGAGAAAGACCGATAGATATTTATGTTGATAAGATTTTAAAGAAAGGTGCATGTGACATTTTAGATAAATTTACATCAGAATAGGGGAGTAAAGTGAAGAGCAGTAAGTAAACGGTCTATCTGTCCTTTAATGGTATTATCAGTTATTTTGGAGATAGTTAATTTAACAAATTTAGTCTTTATCTATCTGATACACGCTTTACAAAACATAACACAAGTTCATAACGTGCACTTTTGAACTCGGTGATGGTGTAGTCCAAGAAGTCAATCCATGAAATTTGTAAAGCCAATGCGATAATACATGTCACGGGCTTAGATCGCGATAAATATTATATCAGAGTTTGGCATTCCATAATTACAATGGCGGGGCAAACCTCAACGAGAATGGTGAGTCCTTTAAGAGGAAGGTATATGCGATGCCTATGATGGAGAGTTGGTCGACGAAAGCTATTAAATTGAATAACACGTGTTATGAATTTGAGTTGTGATTCGTCAAATTTATACCTAACAATATGATAAAGTCTAAGTCAATATTGATCAAAACGAGAGCTAGCCATATCGAATAGCACGTGCTATAAATTTGAATCGTGATTCATCAAATTTATACCCAACTATATGATCAAGTCAAGTCAATACTGATCAGTAGTATGATTCAAACTTGTGCTATTGAAAACTATTGCCTCTTAATTAATTAGACATAAGGTTGTTCACCTGTCATACATATATATGCACTTTTTACTTCTCAAAAAATTAAAGTTACAAAAGTATAGGACATGACTTATTCATAAAACATAACGTGATTCATCATGTTTGTGAAAGTCAAGTCAAATATATGCATTTAAGTCAAAATTCTAAAATGCAACAGTTTGCTATATATCCCTATCTTCATTAATGTCAAATTAATTGTTATTCAAATGAGAAGATATAGAAGATGGAAGTTGAATTGA